GGAGCCTGATGCGGGGCTCGATCCCAGGACCCTGGGATCATGACCTGAGCCGAAGGCAGACGCTTAACGACTGAGCCACCCAGGCGCCCCAAAATTTAATGTCTTAATTTAACTTATTAGATACACATACACTGAAAAAAAAGAACCTTTTATTTTATTCTCCTCTAATCAGAATTACTTACCAATGGAACATATGTATTTGGACATTGTACAACTTCTCTAACCTTGGAACCAGGTTGGACAGTGCCACCCTGTTGTACCTTGATTTTCCCAAAGTACTTGGTTTTTTTTTTTTTTTTTAACCACACAACCATCAATAAAACCAGCTTTGCAAAGGTAAGATGTCATCAGAAGTGATACAGTGCATCTAATGTTGGAACTGTGAACTATGTCAAGTTCATGCTGTGTTGATTGATGTCACACATCACTATTACTTCCCTCAAGAATTTCAAATCCCATGGCATCCTTGACAGTTTGCTGCAGAGCCCTTCAATGCCTTGGTACACAATCGGGGAACTGCAACTTTAATGGGTTAATACCCCTGACCAAGCTAAAGAGGAGGAGGAGGGTAGTTTAATCTAGTATAGTGAACAAAAGAACAAAATCAGAGTAGTGATGATTTGATGTCATTAAGAATGAGAGTGTTGTTAAAAGTTGGACACAGATGTGATTTCTTTTTTTAAATTTGGTATGTTTTTCACTATTTGATTTATTTAAAATGAGTCATTTATGTTATAATCACTTTTTAACAGATGGATGAATTGCATATATCTATGATCCAGTGGATGGTAAGCTTGCTGATTTTAATGGTGCCTGACTGTACTGACCAAAACACTCTCCCAAATTTGAGGAAAGAAAGTGCTGAGAAACATGATCTAGGAGTTGCAAAGTTAGAGCTAGATGCGATTGCACTGGCCAGAAAGTTGGCGCAATATTCCAGCTATTTGAGCAGGTGAAACTATCTGGCTGTTTTATTACTATCCTTTTGAAGATTAAATGTGACGTAAAGAGAGTAGATAAGGGCAAGGAGGTAGCAGCAATAAGGGACTGTTTGCAAACCTTGAAAGAAATGCTAGTTTTTCTAGTTTTTTAATTTTTTTTAAAGATCTTATTTATTTATTTGACAGAGAGAGGCACAGCGAGAGAGGGAACACAAGCAGGGGGAGTGGGAGAGGGAGAAGCAGGCTTCCAGCCGAGCCGGGAGCCCGATGCGGGGCTCGATGCGGGGCTCGATCCCAGGATCCTGGGATCATGACCTGAGCCGAAGGCAACGCTTAATGACTGAGCCACCCAGGCGCCCCTAGTTTTTTCTAGTTTTTAAACTAGTTTCAACACTGCCCAGTTGAAATACATGATTTTAGTGTTTTCCCAATGGCTTTAGAATTCTTTTGAACATAATGTTACCATAAGTAGGGTGGGAAGTATATGCCTGCTCGGGAGTGAGAATTAGTAAAAAGAAAACCAAATTAAACCATAAAGGCCCACTTGCTTGCATTAATAAGATATATCTTGCATGTTTGCTCATACTGGAGGGGCATTTATGAAGAAGCTTGTACTTCCTGTGTCATTCCGTGCAAAACTGAATGTACACTTATATTTCACTAAATATGTTTGGTTTCCCTGAACACCAACTGAAACATCTCTTTTATTTTATTTTATTTATTTTTAGATTTTTTTTTATTTATTTGACAGAGAGAGACACAGCGAGAGAGGAAACACAAGCAGGGGGAGTGGGAGAGGGAGAAGCAGGCTT